GGTGACTGGGGTCCAGTCACTCTCATCTGGGATGGCCACTCCCGGACTCGGCACGCAGTCTCTGGAAGGAAGCCCGTGGGGATGCTGCGGCGTGGAGCTCTGAAAGGTCCCCACACCCCACCTCCTTCTTGGCCTCTTTGATAGGGACTCCACACCCGATGGGACCTTAGACAGTTCACACAAAGACCTCTAGACCGCCTCCTTTTATGACTGCCTGTGGAATCCAGGAAGAAATAATACACCCAGGACCCGCAAGAAGTGTGCCCTTCAGTTCGGACTCACTCCGACCCTGGAAGGCACAGCCGCTTGCTCCCTCCTCCCTTAGCCACACCAGAGCTTTGTCCCGCTCTCGCCCGACCATGCTGACACCCTCCTGCCCTTTTCCCCTCTCTCTGGTTGCTCTTCTTCTAACTCCTTTTAGGTTATCTTTTTCTTGAGTAGCTCTGGAGCTCAGGCTAAGATTTTTAGATTCCACTCAACTCTCTAACAGACCTGTCTGGCAGGGACAAATATATTCTAAAGAAACAGTTGTGCTCTCCTCTTAGCTTGCTATCCGATTTTTAAAAAATAAATAAATAAAAATGGAACTCATAACCGGGTGTTGGTGGCGCAGGCCTTTGATCCCAGCACTCGGGAGGCAGAGGCAGGTGGATCTCTGTGAGTTCGAGGCCAGCCTGGTCTCCAGATTGAGCTCTAGAACTGTCAGAACTGTTACACTGAGAAACCCTGTCTCCAAAAAAAAAAAAAAAAAAAAACGAAAACAAAAACAAAAAAAATTGACCCCCCCAAAAATCAGTTTCCTCCAGGAATTTCCTGCTATGAGAAGAAGCATCCAAAGGAAGAACTTGCTCCTTGGAGAAAAACTTAACACCTTGGTCGGATGACCTTCAAAGACAGACAGGGAATTTACAAGGGACTACACCTAGTTTCCGCACGTCTTGCTTAAGATGTCAAACTCTATCCCGGGGGCAGAAGAGATAGCTCAGTAGTTAAGATCACTGACAGAGGGAGGGAATTCGATTCCCAGCACCCATAAGGTAGTTCATAACCGTCTGTAACTCCAGTTCTTGGGAATCCAACAGGCATGCGTGTGATACACATCCATGCAGGCAGGCCGGCAAAAACATACACACATAAGGTAAAATAAGTCTAAAAACATTAGCAGGGCTTAGTGACACCTGCCTTTAATCTGGGGGGAGGGGCGCAGAGGGAGGTGGATTTCTAAATTCAAGGTTAGCCAAGGTTACATAGACCCTGCCTCAAAACAAAAATAAAGAACAAAAAAATTGAAACCCACTAGGCGCCAGCAGCAGTGGAGCACGTCTTTAATCCCAGCACTGAGGAGGCAGAGGCAGGTGGATCTCTGTGAGTTCAAGACCAACCTGGTCTACAGAGCGAGTTCCAGGATAACCAAGGCTACACAAAGAAACCCTGACTGGAAAAACAAAATAAAATAAAAACAACTAAATAAACAAATCCTATCCTCATATCAGGACCCACAAAGATGGAGGGGGGGGTTGGATCTCTCTGTCACTCCTCCCAGTGTGAGTTCATTTGAATTGAGTAAATCTGCTTTTCACTATAGATTTGGATCCATTTATCAGTTAATTTAGTATGTGTGGCTAAATCTAGTTTGTTGGGGAACAGGCTGTACTAAAAAATATGGTTCTATGCTCTTGTCCATGATTCACCACACACGGACTGCTGCCCAGTCATTTCTTCTAGCCAGGTTCAGTCACTCAAAACCATTACTCCCATGCACTCCGTTGGAAATGCAGAACATCTGAACTTCTCTTTTACCAGTCTGCATGCCAGTCCCCAGCCAGCTGCCTCAGAGTCCAACCTGCAGCACCTGCCACGTGCACTCCATACCCCCACCCAAAATTACTTAAAATATGAGACTGGTGGGTGTTTTGTTTTTTGGTGGGTTTTTTTTTTTTTTGCATGTTTGTAAATTGTTGTGAAATTCTACAAAGTGTGAACTTTTGTAACTTGATTGGGTTTTTGGTTGGTTGGTTTTTTGAGACAGGGTTTCTCTGTGGCTTTGGAGGCTGTCCTGGAACTAGCTCTTGTAGTCCAGGCTGGTCTCAAACTCACAGAGATCCACCTGCCTCTGCCTCCTCAGTGCTGGGATTAAAGGTGTGCGCCACCACTGCCCGGCATTTGATTGGGTTATTACTAAAAGCAAAATTTATAATGACTGGGCTGGAGAAATGGCTCAAAGGTTAAGAGCAGTGGCTGCTCCTAGAGGTCCTGAGTTCAATGGTGGCTCACAACCATCTATAGTGGGATCTGGTGCCCTTTTCTAGCATGCAGGCAGAACACTGTATACTCAATAAATAAATAATCTGGGGGGTTGGAATTTGTAATGACAAAGTCATGTTGAAATATCCAAAGATTTCCCCATCACTGTGGGGTAGGAGATGCTTCTGAAATACAGATTGGAATAGCTTCAAATCATCCCTAAAGGGACTGGGAAGATGGCTCACCATTTAAGAGTGTGTCTAGTCTCTGAGGGCATCTGCACACATACCATACCCACAACACTGATGCATAATTAAAAATAAAATCAACATCTCAAAACAAATCAAAACAAAACAAAATCTTTCTTCTGGAGAGATGGCTCAAGGTTTAAGAGCACTGGATGCTCTTCCAGAGGTTCTGAGTTCAATTCCCAGAAACCACATGGAAGCTCACAACCATCTATCATGGGACCTGATGCCCTCTTCTGGTGTGCATGCATACATGCAGACAGAGCACTCATACATAAAATACATAAATAAATCTTTAAAAAAAAACTCTCGCCGGGCAGTGGTGGCGCACGCCTTTAATCCCAGCACTCGGGAGGCAGAGGCAGGCGGATCTCTGTGAGTTCGAGACCAGCCTGGTCTACAAGAGCTAGTTCCAGGACAGCCTCCAAAGCCACAGAGAAACCCTGTCTTGAAAAACCAAAAAACAAACAAACAAACAAACAAACATACAAAAACTCTCCTAAAACACTTCCTTCTGATGAATGAAAATGAGGACATGACAACTCCTGGGTATGGCTGAAAAGGTTTTTATTATAGATATGAGGGAGGGCACTGCCAGAAGCACCTGGAAGACTCCAGATGAACATGACCAGCAGAACAGACCAGGCCATGAGAGGAGGGGAGGGGTAGAGCAAGTGGAGGAAGAGAGGAGCCTTGGACTGAGAGGCCAAGAGAAAAACCAAAAGAGCATGTAGCCAAAATGGCTGAGTTTATATAGGAAAGAGAAGCTGAGGGAAGGGAAGCAAACTCAAGGACTGGAGAAGTTGGGGGGAGGGGCAGTGCAAGCATGTTAAGTGCCAGGAGTGGGCAGTAACAGGTTCTGGAAGAGCCTGGCAGCCAGCATCCAATTTGGTATGTCAAATTTGTCCCCGAGTCTCTTTGAGACTTAACACCTATAGGCCTATAGGATGACAGTCCTTGAGGAACCCTTGTTGTATCCTCTGCTTAGAATTCTTGAAAGTTCTCTGATGCAAGAGGACCCCCAAGATGGATCATTGGGTGTATGCAGTTCATTAACAGAGTTGTTAACACCATGGAAAACACAGACAGACAGACAACAGCATGGCAGGGACTCTTAGGAGAATTCAGGCTCCAGCACCAAGAAAGAACATGTACAGTGTCTAAAGACAGGAAATCAATAGGCAGTCTTATATCACTCTGAGGATGAGAGAAGTTTCCCAGCACAAGCCTCTGATTCCCAGGCAAGAGGCAGGGTAAGGGTGGGGAGCAGGATGAGGCCACCAATACTCCTTTGATGTAAACTCCCTACCCCATGTGAGATCCACAGACAGACAAGGCATCAGGACAATGACTATTAGTATAGGGGGAGAAGACACATAAGTATTGAAGCCTGGGCAGCAGCTGGATTCCCTAAGTGAATCTGCATTTATTTAGGTCAGTTGAACTTGACCCTTTAATTCTGGAATCAGTTCTCCCAGCCTGTCCGACTCAATGCTCCCTCCATCTAGTGACAAATGGGTGACAGCCACCCATTTGTCCTTGCAATAGCTAGCTACATAGAGAACCCTGCTGGCTTGCATCAAGATCTCTGGCTTTGCTGTCTCAAGTCCACATATAAAACTCTCCAGCTGAATACTCACTCTGTGTAAGACACAGGATCAGAGGCTTTCCAACATCGGCATTCCTGTTCTACAGGATCATCCCTGTAGGATATATTTATTTATCCTCAATCAGGTAACAAAGCTGAGGCTCAGGAAAGTCAAAAGAAAATTGGCTGATGCTGGTAGAGTGCCTTTCTGAATCTCTGAAATTAAGGTCCCAGTAAGGCTTTAAAAAAAAAAAAAGTTGGAAAGGTCATCACAAAAGATAGCATGGGTGTGGGTAGGGGTCAAGCAAGTAGGACTTGGGAGTGAGGCTTCTTTTTGTGTTATCAACCTTTCACTTAGGCTGGTGCGCAGCTGGGCTTGGATGTCCATACTTCATTACCCCTTTCTTGACCACCACTTCCTTCCAGGACTGTCTGGCTAACACTGCAGTCATTATACCTGGAACAGTGCGGCTTAGATCGCCCTCTAGTGGCCATAGAGTATATCAACAGCCTGATCAACTCAATTGGGAAACTAGTATTGGAACTAACCATCTTCAGTGGCACCAGGCTCTCTCCCTCGGCATTATTTCCCTATCTCAGACACTCCCTTCATCTGTCCATATCCATGTGTTCCCATTTCTTAGTCATCTCTACTCATACCACTCTGCCCATCCCAGTCTTAATCTAGTCTCTCTTCCTCCTACTAGGATCCTTGAGAACAGGGAAGCTCACAGGAGTCCATGGAGTTCCATGTCTTCCACATCTGGGTTTTCAGGGCTGGCATCAGTTTCCCAGCATCTGAAGCAAAATTCTAAGGGCTCTTATGGTGAACCTGAGCTGGCCAGTGCCTGATCTCTTACTATGAATTCCTGTCCAGACTCAGAAGGCCGGGCGATAAGACGTGACTTCCTAAAATGAACTTTAGGTTCAAAAGACAGAAGCTGAGGGAAGACAGAGGCTAGGGAGTCCAGCCAGGCTCATTTGCAGGACCATCCTTTAACCCCGCCCTCACCCAGCTTTGGAGCATCATATAGGGACTACTGATTGGGCAGAAACAGGATGAGGACAAAAGCCCAAATCCAAGAGATGCAGTTCTGGTCTGTTCCTTGGTCTCAGTAGAGGAATGGATTCCAGAGAAAAGAAGAGAAGGATGAAACAAAGGCAGAGGATAATGGTGAGACACCGGCAAAAGCAGCAGCCCAATTGCTCACCTCTATACACCTTCCTACTTGACACCGCCCTCCTTTCATGCACAGTGCAGAACAAGGCACTTCACAGCATCCAGAATACTTTTATTGCCAAAATTGAGGTACAGCTTGCTCAGGGCCCCAGGTGGGGACCACCATCAGGTGAGGGAGAGATGGTGGGAATGTGCCTAACAAGGGAAGCCCAGTGAGAATCATTGTGGGAAGGCAGTGTACATAGTCCAGCCTGAAAGTGGTTTGGGGACTCCAACCTAACAGCTAACCCAAGTCTCAGCCTATAGTCAGGTCCACTGTCCCTAAGACAGGCCCAGAGTCACCATCCCTGCTGTCACACAGAGACCATGCAGCATCCCTGGGGCAAACAAAAAACCCCTAGCTAGGATGCTATGCTCCTTGCTCTCGGGGACCCTTTCAATCTCTGGACTAACTCCGGCAAACTAAACCTGTTTAGTTGCCTGGTGGGAGCAGGTGTTGGACAGGAACTCTATCACCTCTTGTCCCTTGTGCCAGCCCAAGTGGATGGCAGAAATACCCTACAGCAGTGTGCAGTATGGTGGTAAATTCTCAAGAAGGTAGCTCAGGGAAAGTTGTTCCCTTGAGCTCCCTTTCTTTTAGGTACCAAGCTAGAAATCCTGCTCTCCTTAAAATACAGTCCCAGAACCAAGAGAGCCAGCTTCAGTACTGGGCCTCACATCACAGCCAAGGAGATCAGGAGTCCTAGGATGTGACCCCCAGAACTGAGGGGTCCTCTGCTGCCCAATCCAGAACTAGGACTAGGACGCTGCTAGAGGTGAGAGGTAGGAATGGAATCTAAATATCCCAGGACCTGGAGGAATCATGGAGAACACAACAAACTGCCCTGCCTGCAGGGGTGCTGGACTGCCTCCAGGAGGCCACACCCAGGATGTCCACCAGTGAGGTCACAGGGGCTAGCAGCCTTAACCAGTAGGCTACCTGAAGCCAGTGTGTGGGAAGGACACCTGAGAGTCACTATGGAACCTTCCAGGGCAGGACCTCAGCTCAGTAACATCCCTCACAGGAAGGTTAGGGCCCAGTGGGCTAGAGGAGAAAGGCCAGAGAGCTAGGAAGACTGCGTGGCCCGAGCTGGGGACTGGAGTGAGGAGCCAAGCAAGCCAGCTCACAGAGCCAGTCTAAGGTCGCAATGCCATCAGTAGCAGCATTCTTTCCACCAAATGTCCTTTGAATCCATATTTGTGCCTTCCTTCTTCACTGCCTTTCTACACAGGAAGAATGAGAAACAGCAATCCCCTGAGGCAAATGCCTCACAGCCTAAGACCTAGGACCTCGAATAATGGTCACAAACATTTTACCGAGCTTGTAGGCCATGAAAGGGTCAGAGCCCAAGAGATGCTCCATGGTCCAGCCATCCAGCAGCCCAGCCTGGCACAGGAATCAAGGCTCGAAAAGCACACGTTTCAGATAAGCCAAGGTAGTGGCATTGGCTAACATCTCAATGTGTTCGCTTCCTGGCAGCTCCTGCAATGATACTTTGTGCTCTTGGCGGCTCTGCCAGGCCTGGCACTGCAAGACACTCTCCAGGTTCACAGTGCCATCACCATCACCAAAGCAGATCTTTGGGTCACGATCAGGAAAGCTCTCATAGTAGAAAGAGTCTGGTGTGGGGACGCCAGTCCCATAGAGGCAGTGTAGCTCCACACCAGGTGGCATCATGGCTTCAACCAGCCCTTCTGTGTCCTGCCTCATGAACCAGCCATCTTCAAATCTGATGTCCTGGAAGAACTGGTGATAGTCTCGGAGAGTGTAGTTAGTTGTGGGCGTGTGCACAAATACCTTGTCATGTGACCAGGTGTGGTTGTATGGCAGTAGCCAGCTGGTGGAGACAGCGGATCGCTGCTGCTCCCGGATCTTAAGTGGCCCAATAACAGGGATGCGATTGTTGTCTCCTGGAAGGAAAGGGTTTGGATTAACCTGTGCCAAGGGAAGCAAACTGTCTGGACAGCAGGTTCTCCAACCTAGCCAATGGTCAATACCCCCATCTCTGCATCACTAGCTTTTATTTCTTTTTCTCTTCTTTCTTTCCTATTTTTTCTGTACGTGGAAAACATGCATCCATATCTACGTGTTCCCTATGTATTTCCTTGCTAGAGATTCAGCCAGCACTCCACCTCGAGTTATTTATTGTTTGCTTATCTATAAAGGACGCCCTGCTAAGTGTCTATCACCATGCCTGTGAGCACTAGTCTTGTTTAAGAGGAAACAGCAAGACAATAGGCTGGTTGGGTTTTTTGTTTGTTTGTTTGTTTTATTACATTGAACTGTATATTTGCCTTTCTTTTCCTAGGTCCAGACCAGCATTTAGTCAGCCTGGTTTCATCCTACCCATCTATAAGCCTGTGCCAGAAGGCCAGACTTGCTGGAAGCAAGGCAATGGGGTGGGAAGCTACCGCTGGAGTCACCCAGGGGGCTTTAAAAAAAATAAAAACATGAAACTGGGAAGAGGATGTGGTATGGGGGAAGGCCAGGAGGAACTGGAAAAAGGATTGAGAGGGGATATGACCAAGTACATTGTCTATATGAATGAAATTCTCATAGACTAAATAAAAATGCCTTTTTTAAAAAAAAAGAGTTTTATTATGTATACGTCTTGTGCCTGCATGCCAGCAGAAGGCATCAGATCTCATTCAAGGTGGTTTTGAGCCACCATGTGATTGCTGGGAATTGAACTCGGGATCTCTGCAAGAACAATCAGTGCTCTTAACCGCTGAGCCATCTCTCCAGTCCCTAAAAATACCTTTTTAAAAATAAAAAAAAAAGGGGGGGGGGCTGGAGAGATGGCTCAGCGGTTAAGAGCACTGACTGTTCTTCCAGAGGTCCTGAGTTCAATTCCCAGCAACCACATGGTAGCTCACAACCACCTTGAATGAGATCTGGTGCCCTCTGCCTGCATGCAGGCAGAAGACTGTATACATAATAAATAAATAAAATCTTTAAAAAAATTAAAAAAAAAAATCCGGAGTCAGCTGCAGCTGGAGTCAACTTTTCCCATTAGCGATGAGACTTTCAGGGCCTGAGGCAACTGAGAAAGGAGTTACTTGTTCAAGTACTATCATCAGCCATTATCCAACACTATCTGAAAGCAGCCCTGTTGGCTGACCCCAGTGTCTCAGCTTTTCCTGCTACCTCCAGAATCCTTGGGGAAAGGGAACCCCCAGGAGTCTGTGGATTTCTATCTCTCCTGCCCCTGAATTTCTAGGGTTGGCAGCAGTTTCCAGCATCTGAGGTAAAGATCTAAGAGGTTTTAAGGAAAGATTTGAGATGGCCAATGCTTGAATTCTTACCATGTCTCCATATCAAATTCTGAAGGTGCCCACATGTCTCCCTGGAGGCCCAGGAATGGCATAGCTATGGCTGATGAATCCTCACTGTATCTAAACTTCTAAACCATGAGCTTACTGTCCCCTCAATTCAGGATCACTCCTGGGAGAAATTCTGAACCTGATCTGATCATAGCCTTCAGATAAGCAAGCAGGTCAGACAGTACCAGTGACGGCAGAAAGAAAGCCTAGAGATCCCTGAGATGGCCCTGCCTCACAGTGCCCAAGTAAGGGGGCCCAGGGCCACCACTCAGTCATGGGGGAAAGAGGATAGCTTCTGTAGAAGGACCAAAAGAGGGTTGACATTCCCAACTGCCAGGCAAGCAGAAGGGGCCAGACCCACACCTGCTTCCTCGCTGTAGTGCCTCTCACACAGGTGGGTGAAACTCATAAACAGGAAATGGTAACCAGCCTTCCCTCTGTGAGGAAAATGGGGACAGGGTAAGAAAGACTTGAGAAGGGACCCCAAAGAACTGTGGGTCAAGCTAAGTTTGTTCGTGTGTACATACACATAAGTAACAGTTAGACCACTCTATGTACAATATTACAACAGATTACAAGGGCTATCAACTAGAGAGGAAAAACTAGGAGTACTATTAGATTTTCTTTTTATTGCTTTTTTTGGGGGGGGTGGTATTGAAACAGGGTTTCTCTTTGTGTGTGCCCCTGGCTATTCTGGAACTCTCTCGACAGACCAAGCTGGCCTAGAACTCAGGGATATGCTGCCTCTGCCTCCCAAGTGCTGGATTAAACATGTGCACCCCCACTGCTCCACAACTGCTTTTTTTCTTAAAGGGTGCGTGTGCCAGTGTGTCCATATGAGTACTACAGTATGCGTGTGGAGCTCAGAGGACAACTCGTGGGAGTTGGTTTTCTTCTACCATGTGGGTTCTGGGGATTGAATTCAGGTCCTGAGACTTGGCAACAAGTGCCTTAACGTGCTGAGCCCCCTCACCAGCCACAGCACCAGATTTTCTTTGGAGAAAAAAAAAGATATTTGTTTTTCTTTTTAATTGATTATCGTGTGTAGATGATAGGTGTGAACACACACGTCATGCCTGTATGTTGAGGTTGGATGACAAATTTGTGGAGTTGGTTCTTTCCTTACACCTTTATACTGGTTCTGGGGATTGAACTCAGATTGTTGAGTTTGCACAGCAAGCTCCTTTAGCCACTGAGACATCTCTCTGGGCCCCCAAGAGTGAAATAGAAGGGCACCCTGGATAAAGAAGGATGTTAGTCCATGGAGGAGACATGAAGGATGTTGGAATAGCATGAGACCACAGAAAAAAAAGAAGGCATTCCGGGGAACAGCCATCCATGAGAGGACAGGGAGGTCTTACCTGAGGCCAGGACGCGCAGGGTCTTGGCCACGCCCCCCCAGGGCGCACCCAGTGAAATGAAGGCGTGGATATACTTGTCCTTCCAGGCCTGTGGTTGCCGCTGCAGAAAGTAGAGCGTGTACATGTTGCCCATACTGTGGGCGACCAGCACCACGGGGCCCCCATACATCTGGTACATCTCCTCGATCATCTCTCGGAGGGCCAAGAAGTAGGGCCCGTTTTCATCTGCAGGCCAGAGCCGAGCAGAGGTCAGGCTGGAAGTGTCCTGGGACCTGGACCACTGACCAATCCACAGGCCAGACCCAGGACTAGGGGGTGCAGAGAATGTTAGAGCCTAAGTAGGAGCAGATTAGTTCCCCCAAAGGTTCATGAAGAGAGGACCAAGAGGCTCATTTTCCCCCTCAGTCTTATTCTTGACCAAGCCTCAGAGGGTCCTAGGATGAATGATAGGGAAGGACAAGGCAAGACTCACTCAGAACTGCTGGCTGGGGCCTCTGCACTGGTTGCCAAGGCCCAGATGTAGGGAGAGCCCAAGGCCTATTAATGGCCAAAACTACCTTATCCCTGCCTCCCAATCCCTCAGGGACAGAAGAGAGGTGGGGTGGTGGGGGATTTCTTACTTGGAGCTCGGCGCCAATCGTAGGGAGCCCCTCGGAGGTCTTCTCCCCGTGTATAGCCCCAGCCCACAAGGCTCTCCACCATAGTGTGGAAATAGGAACCTACAGACAGAAATGCATAGAGTTACATAAAATACAACCAGTGTTAGCCACCCACACCACACCCACAGAGACAGTGACATCTGTCTCCCTGAAGAAGTGGTAAAGGGATTTGTGTCAAAGTAATCGAGGACAGCTCATAAGCTACCCCTTGAAAACAATGTAGTACTTCCCATATTCTAGAAGCTGAGGAAAGCCCAGAGCCCCAGCTACATGCCCTGGAGATGCTGAGCAAGAGCTACATACCCACAGTCCTTTTGCTGGGGTCTAGGAACTCCAAAGAAAATGTTTCCCCAAAGCCCGGTACACGCACATCCACACCATCAGGAAACTGGGTGGCCCGAGATGTTCTGTTGTAAACCAGCCTGACAGGAGAAGATAATGAGTCGGTAACTCAAAGGTTCCACTAAGCTTAGTATGTCTCAATACTGTCCTGTGACCTTAGCCATACTCCAGTCTCAGTCCCTGGTTTGGTCAAAGGTATAAAAGAGATGAAAAAGTAACAAAGGCCTCTGTGAGTTTGAGGCCAGCCTGGTCTACCCAGCAGGACAGGCTCCAAAGCTGCACAGAGAAATCCTGTATCTAAAGACAAAACAAACAACAACAAAATGACAAATGTAACAAAGCGGGTTTATAAAACACAGATCTAGCAGGACAGTGGTGGTGCACACCTTTAATCCCAGCACTGGGGAGGCAGAGGCCGGCAGATCTCTGTGAGTTCGAGGCAGCCTGGTGTACAAAAGTGAGTTCCAGGATAGCCAGAACTGTTACATAGAGAAATTTTATCTCAAAAAACAAACAACAAAAAAATGTTTTAATTGTTTAAAAAAAAAAGTCACTCACAGAAAGCTGACAGGAGGGGCTGGAGAGATGGCTCAGAGGTTAAGAGCAATGGTTGCTCTTCCAGAGTCCTGAGTTCAATTCCCAGCAACCACTTATAATGAGATCTGGTGCCCTCTTCTGGCCAGCAGGCAAATATGCAGGGAGAACACCACATATATAATAAAACAGAAAGAAAGAAAGAAAGAAAGAAAGAAAGAAAGAAAGAAAGAAAGAAAGCAAGCAAGCAAGCTTTCAGGATCCCAACATTGATCCAAATGTAGGGCCTGAGGCCACTCTCTCCAGTGGATAACCTACAAAGTGTAGAAAATTGTTGTGGAAAGTCAAGGCAGCTTTGTGCAAGATGAAAATCTAAACTGGTCAGAGGAACAACAAAGACAAAAAAAAATCTCTTTTTTCAACCTGTTCCTCTGTTGGCAGTACCTGAGGCCATGTGTCTCCAGGACAAAAATAGAAATATAGCTCAACAGCCCAAGAATAACTGCAATCACACTCCAAAAAGTAAGTCAACAAAGAGGGCAGCTTGGACAGCAGGGAAGCCTGGGTGTCCAGGGGATCGGCCAGCAAGTCTCTGGGAAAAGCTTTTAATTGATGAAGCTTTTTTTAAAAAAAGATTTATTTATTATGTATACAGCATTCTGCCTGCATGTATCCATGCAAGACAGAGGAGGGCACCAGATCTCATTACAGATGTTTGCGAGTCACCATGTGGTTGCGGGGAATGAACTCAGGACCTCTGGAAGAGCAGTGCTCCTAACCTCTGAGCCATCTCTTCAGCCCAACTGATGAAGTTCTAATCAGTGCAAACATATACCAAGCATTAGCTATGTTCTTTGATTTATTAAGAGCACTTGTGGGGCTGGAGGGATGGCTCAGAGGTTAAGAGCACTGACTGCTCTTCCAGAGGTCTTGAGTTCAATTCCCAGCAACCACATGGTGGCTTACAATCATCTACAATTCAATCTGGTGCCCTCTTCTGGCCTGTAGGTAAAATAGTGTATATGTAATAAATAAATCTTAAAAAAAAAAAGGGGGGGGGGGCTGGAGAGATGGCTCAGCGGTTAAGAGCACTGACTGTTCTTCCAGAGGTCCTGAGTTCAATTCCCAGCAACCACATGGCGGCTCACAACCGCCTTGAATGAGATCTGGTGCCCTCCGCCTGCATGCAGGCAGAAGACTGTATACATAATAAATAAAATAAAATCTAAAAATAAAATAAAATAAAATAAAAGAACACTTGTTTCAGGTCAGGCAGTGTGGTAGTGGCGCACTTTGATCCCAGAACTTAGGAAGCAGAGGCAGGCAGATCTCTGACTTCAAGGCCAGTCTACAGGGCAAGTTCCAGGACAGCCAGGGGTATTGAGAGACCCTGTCTTGGAAGGTGAGGCACTTGTTGATCTTGCAGAGGACCCAGGTTCAATTCCTAGCACTCACATGCCGCTCATAGCCATCTGTAACTCCCAGTCCTAGGAAATCTGATGTCCTCTTCTGACTTTCACAGGCACCCAGCATACACCACACTTACATATATGCAAGCAAAACACTCATACACATAAAATAATAAAATAAATCTAGAAAAAAAACCAGAATCATAGTCTGCCTTTAGAGACTTCTCTCTGGGAAGGGACTTTAGGATAATACAATTCTGAGTCTGAATCATCTTTCTGATTATCAGCTGAATGAAATGGCTGTAATCAATTTTATAAATTCACTGAGCTTCGGGATTTCCTTATCTATAAAGTACATTTGTTTTGTTTTGCTTTGTTGTGGTTCTTGGGATGAAATTCAAAGCCTTATCCATGATACACTGAGTTACACCCCCCATCTCCTGTAAAACAGGTTTAAAGACAATACCATTTCCTAGGAGTGCCTCAAGATTAAATTAAAATTGTCATTTGGTGGCAATTTTATTATGGTGCAGACCTCAAGAGTGTTCTAGTACAAATCTAGACAGTGTATGTCATTCATTCAAACATGTTCTTGATGAAAGAAACACACACACACACACACACACACACACACACACACACACACACACACACGAGAATAGTGGACCAATAAAACACACCTGTGATCCCAGCATTCAGGAGGCAGAGCCAGGATTGTTAGTTCCAGCCTGGGTTACATTGGGAATTTGAGCCCATCTTGAGCTACACAGTGGGCCCTGTCTCACAGCCCTTTTTTTATTTAATCGTATGTGTAAGACTTTTGTCTGCATGAACATAGATGCACCACATGCATAGCTGGTACCTTCAAAAAAGGGCATTAGATCCCTTGGGACTGAAGTTATGATGGTTGTGAGCCACCATGTGATTTCTAGGGCTTGAACTTGGGTTCTCCGCTAGAGAGGGGAGTGTTTGAATCTACTGGGCCATCTTTTTTTTTTTTTAAGATTTATTTATTTATTTTGTATGCAATATTCTACTTCCATATATGCCTGCACGCCAGAAGAGGGCACCATAATCTCATTACAGATGGTTGTGAGCCACCATGTGGTTGCTGGGAATTGAACTCAGGACCTCTGGAAAAACAGTCAGTGCTCTTAACCTCCAAGCCATCTCTCCAGCCCCTACTGGGCCATCTTACCAATCCCTTTTGCGTTGCTGTTTTGTTGGTCTTTATTGTTGTTTAGACAGGACCTTCTGGGGCACTGGTGGCACACGACTTTAATCCCAGCACTTGGGAGGCAGAGACAGGCGGATCTACAAGAGCTAGTTCCAGGACAGCCTCCAAAGCCACAGAGAAATCCTGTCTTGAAAAACAAAAAACAAAAACAAAAACAAAAACAAAAACAAAAACTTGGCTTGGCAGTGGTACATACATGCCTTTAATTCTAGCACTCAGGTTGCAGAGTTGGCAGATCTCTGGGAGTTCAAGGCCACCTGGTCTACAAAAGGAGTCCAGGATAGCCAGGGCTACACAGAGAAACCCTCTCTCACCCCCTACCCTCCCACCCATGCAATAAAATTAAAAAGTAAAAATAAAAATTATAGTCAGGTGTTATAGCACATGCCTTTAGTTCCGGGCCAGCCAAGTCTACACAGTAAAATCCTATCTTTAAAAAATGTAGCAGGGCTATGGTGGCACATGCCTTTGATACCAGGAGCATCTCTATGAGTTCAAGGCCAGCCTGATATACAGAGCTAGTTCCAGGACAGCTAGGGCTGTTACACAGAGGAAACCCTGTGTTGAAAAACCATAAATAAATAAATAAATAAATAAATAAATAATTTAGTAAACACATAAAGCAGCAACTCAGTTGCTGATTATTAACATCAACTTTGGTAACACACCCAGCATGGAGGTGCATGCCTTTAAACCTGCACTCCCGGGTAGATGTGGATGGATGGATCTCCATGAGTTTGAGGCCAGCCTGATCTATATAGCGAGTTCCAGGCTAGACAGGACTGCGTTGTCAGACCCTAAAGGTATCATAATTCATTGGGGTTAACAGCACCTGAGTAACATTTGCTACAAAGGTTAGATGATTACTATAGCATAAGGCCATAAGAAAATTTCAGCTCCATTATCTTTCTTGGGGGAGAGGGAAGATAAAGGCCAAACCTCCCTCCCTGTCTTTTTAAAAATCTATGTGCAATGTCTGTATGTTAATGTGAGTATACATCATATGACATGTGTTCAGGTGTCTATGGAATCCAGCAAGCATCAGATCCCTTGGAGCTGAAGTTATAAGCAGTTGTGAGCCATCTAACATTGATGATAAGTAGCAACCAGGGTCTTTCAGCCCCAAGCCAGGGGCTTTCTAGCCAGGGCTAGAAAAGAGCCACATGTCCAGCCTTTCCCTGTACTGAAGGGAGCACCTCCACCCTCCCTCACACAAAACTGTTTTCTCTTACTTTGTTTCCTTTTTTGTTGTAATCTTTGTTTTGTTTTTTGGGTTTTTGTTTTTGTTTTATTTTTTTGAGACAGGGTTTCTCTGTGGCTTTGGAAGCTGTCCTGGAACTAGATCTTATATACCAGGCTGGTCTCGAACTCACAGAGATCTGCCTGCCTCTGCCTCCCAAATGCTGGGATTAAAGGCCTGCGGCCTGAGCCACCACCGCCTGGATAATCTTTGTTTGTTTTTAGATAGTGTTTCTCGATACAGCCCTAGGAATTTGCTCTGTATACCACGCTAGCCTTGAACTCTCAGTGATCTTCTGTCTCCAAAACACTGGAATCCCAGGTATGTGTCACAAGGTCTGACTAATCTGCCCTTGACAAAATATTATTATGGCTGAAATGGGTCTGTAATCCCCCCTGTTCCACAGGCTGATGAAGAAGGACTGAAAGTTCAAGGCCAGCCTGGTAAATTTTTTTTTTGAGACAGGTATTCTCTGTGTAGCCCTGGCCACCTTGGAACTCATTCTGTAGACCAGGCTGGCCTTGAACTCACAGAGATCCACCTGTCTCTGCCTCCTAAAGGCATGCAGCAGCCAGGCGTTGGTGGCCCACACCTTTAATCCCAGCAGTCCGGAGGCCGAGGCAGGCAGATCTCTATGAGTTCCAGGACAGGCTCCAAAGCCACAGAGAAACCCTGTCTCGAAAAAACAAAAACAACAAAAAAGGCATGCAGCATCACAACTGGCTATCTCAAAGAAACAAAAAGTTAAGTTTTATTGTTTGTCATATGTATGTATTTGTTCATTTGTATGTAGATGCGTGTCATAATGCACATGTGGAGTTTAAGGGTCTGACTCGGTGGCAGCCCAAGTTTGGGGCTGAAGAGTGGGAGTGGGAGTTCCAGCATAGCCAAGGCTACACAGAGAGACCCTGTCTCAAAAAGAAACAAACAAAAAGGAGCAAGAAAAGGAAGATGGATCCAGTAAGTTGGTTTAGTGGATAAAGGTACTTGCTCACCAGGCTGAAGACCTGAGTTCCATCACTGGAAACAATATGATAGAGGGAGAAAACTAAAGCTCTCAGGTTGTCCCCTGAACTATACACTCATGCTATAGCATGTGCACCTACCCTTAAATGAATAAATGTGATTTTCTAAAAAAATAAAGGTAGGGACATTCATCAGTTAAGAGCACTGGCTGCTATTCCAAGACCTGGCCTCTGCAGATGCCAGCATGTATACATGCAAACCACCCATACACATAAAAATAAATAAATCTTAAAAAATAAAAAAATGAAAAGTGGGGGGGGGGCAGTGGTGGTGCACGCCTTTAATCCCAGCACTCAGGAGGCAGAGGTAGGCAGATGTCTGTGAGTTATAGAGCCAGTGCCAGGACAGGCTCCAAAGCTACAGAGAAACTGTGTCTCAAAAAAACAAAAAACAAAACAAAACAAAGATAAAATAAAAAGGAGAGGACACGAAAGTGGGAAAGGGGTATCTTTGGGAGGAGCTGGATATGATCAAGATACATTGTATAGGCCAGGTGTAGTGGCGCACGCCTTTAGTGCCAGCACTTGGGAGGACAGAGATCGGCAGATTTCTGTGAGTTCCAGGCCACCCTGTTCTAAGGAGTGAACAATCAGAACAGCCAGAGATACATAGTGAGACCCTGTTTTGAAAAACAAAAACAGCCGGTTGTGGTGGTCCACGCCAGTAGGATTTGCTGAAGGTGGTGGAGGCAGGGGGATCAAAGCTAGCCTGGGCTACATACTTTAGCTGGGTGTGGTGGAACATGCCTTTAATCAAGAGGCAGAGGCAGCCTGGTCTACAGAGTGAGTACCAGGACAGGCTCCAAAAACTGCACAGAGAAACCCTGTTTCGAAAAACAAAAAAAACAAAAAAAACAAAAACAAAAAACAAAAAGATACATTGTATAGTAACTCCAGTCCTAGGGGATCTGGCACCCTCTTCTGGTTTCTGTGGGCACTACATACATGGTCCACAGACATACATGTAGGCAAAACACACATAAACATGAAGGGAAATTTTTAAAGAAAGGAAAAGGAACTAGGGAAATGGCTCCTTGAAGAAGACCCAGGTTCAACTCCCAGCACCAGCCTGGTAGCTCATAGCCATCTGTAACTTCAGTTCCAGCAGATTGATGTCTTCCTCTGACTTCTGCAAGCATGCATTCAGTGCATACATACACATGCTGGTAAAACATCATACACACAAAATAAATCTAAAAATAACTTTTTAAAAAATACACTGTAGCTGGGCAGTGGTAGTGCAGACCTTTAATCCCAGCACTACTCGGGAGGCACAGGCAGGACAGATCTCTGTGAGTTCCAGGCCAGCCTAGTCTACAGAGAGAGTTCCAGGACAGCCTCCAAAGCTACACAGAGAAACCCTGTCTCGAAAAAACAAAAACAACAACAAAAAGATTTTAAAAAAAATAATCACCAGGACCACTAAAACCTCTTGTCATCCAACTAAAATGTTTACTTCATAGCCCCCTTAACTTTATCCTCTAAAAACCACTGATGTGCTAGGACATACAGGAAATCCATCTCTTCAGTCTGTTTGTTCAGGGTGTTGAGACAGTATTTTGCTACTTAACAGTGGCTGGTACCCATTCTGTTGCTAAAGCTAAGCTAGTCTCAGTTGTGATAATTCTCCTTCCTCAGCCTCCCTCCCAAATGCTGAGATTATAGATATACCAATATACAAATATGTTTACAAACATATTTGTGTTTAGTTACTAAATAGATTTGGGTTGACTATGTCATAACATGAAAAGTGAGATGGCACGGCAGGTAAAGACACTTGCCACCAAGTCTGTCTGAAAATCTGAGTTCAGTCTCTGGGACCATATGGTAGAAGAAGAGAACTAATTTCCACAAGTTGTCCTCTGATCTCCACACCCACACCCCTGCACATACAATAAATAAATAAATAAATAAATAAATAAATAAGTTTTTAAAGAGTGAGATGATAGGGTACAAAACACAATATAACTGTTTAACCAAAGTAAGAATGGGAAATTTTTGATCCACACACTAGTAATAAATTTCACTTTATAATGGGAAAAATATAATCCCTTATATTAAATTTGGTAAAACACAGTTCTTTGCCAACATAATTTGATACTTGGTGAGGGCTAAAGAAACATACAAGAGGCCTGGAGGGAGTGATGGTGGGGCGATTTCACATAGGGAATAAAGTCATCTCTTTGGGGAAGTGAATTAATTACAGTTACAAAGTAGCAATGATATAATTTTATGGTTGGGTGGTCACCACAACATGGGGAACTTTATTAAAGGGTTGCAGCATTAAGAAGGTTGAGGACCACTGCAGCTAGTGCTCTTAATCACTGAGCCAACTCAAAAGCTAGGTTCTAAAGGGTGAATGGGAGGGATTAGTGAAGCCTACAAAATCAAAATCTCCCCCCCAAAAATCAGAATCCCCATATGTGAAGATTACAATGTGAAGAGATGCAGAATTATGGCAGGAAGAACAAGCAGCTGGAGAGGCAGGTGCAGTCAAGACTCAGGCAAAGGAAGGAGGGGAGCCACACTGAGTCTAGCACTTGATGGCTAAACTAGAGAAGGGAGGATCAGGAGCAGCAAGAAGGAGAGAACATGCCTCAGTGTGTAGAGCTAGCGCTGACCAGACCAGATCAAAGGCAGAAGACGGAGCCCAGGAGAGGGTACTTTTCCATCAGTTGAGGAATGAGGACAAAGACTCTGAAGGTCTCTGTAGGCCCCATAGTGGTCCCCCCACCTGTGTGTACTAGCCCCTACCTGATATTGTCAATCCAGCAGTCAATGATAACAGGCAAAAGCAGCTCAAGGTTCAGCCAGAGTGTGAAGTAGCTGTCCGTCCTCTTGGAGCAAAGATAGTGTACAACCTTTGGTTTGTCCAGCTTTGCTTCTAGCTGGTTACCCAAATCACCAGGCACTGCAGAAGAAAAAGACAGGCATGGGCCCAAGCCCTGGCAAGCTGGGGACCCCCAAGAACCTTTGAGTCTGTAAAAGGGCCACTCAAGCAAGAGTCACGAACACCACCTTCATGTAGAAAAGTTGTTACTAGCCAGGCATGGCAGTGAGTATCTGTAATTCCAGCATTTAGGAAGCTGAGGCAGGAGGATCAAGTGACTGGCAGCCCAATATGGGCTGCACAATGAGATCCTGTTTCAAAACAAACAGAAGCAAGAGCCACATTAATGGGTAAGAAGCCCACCAACAGATACCCTGTGGCAGCTTAAAGGGAGGCCTGATTACTTTCGGGGAGGCCCATAAGACTCTCTCCAATGATATGGAATAAAAATAACCTCCCTGGATCTTCACTGAAACTTCCTCGTAGGCCATTCAGAAAGAGCTTCAAGCTAGTCACTTCCCTAAAAGGCTGTGGTTGTCCTGAGACCTCAGCCTAGACTGCCCCTACATATACAGATGGTTCCCAAGGTTAACATACCCAGAACATACTCTACCTCGGAGGGGCTTTGAGGTTCATGGAAGTTTTCCAGAACCTCCAAAATTTGGCCAGTGCTACAGTCCCGATATTAGATAGTAACCTCCAGGCTTAAACTTGGCTGTAAAGAAGACCAACCAGGGTCTTATCTACCCCCCAAGCAGTGGGGCACAAAGCAGAGTGCTAGGCCAAAAACTAAATCTAGAGGTAGTAGTACCCTTATGTTTTGTATGTTTTTGTTTTTCAACAAGTTCTTGCTGACATTGGGAGGCAGAGGCAGGTGGATTTTGTGAGTTTGAGACCATCCTGGTCTACAAGAGCTAGTTCCAGGACAGCTTCCAAAGTCAGAGAAACCCTGTCTCGAAAAACAAAACAAAACAAAAAGCATACTTTTCCTGACTCCAACCTCCCAAATGCTGGGATTACAGGCCTGTGGGAGGGAGGTCATGATTTAAAAAAAAAAACAAAAAACAAACAAACAAACAAAAAAAACCACAAATAACAGATGCTTACAATGGTACCAGCAGACCCACCAAGGCCCCGAGGCCTTGCTAAAGGCAGGAAAGTTCCAGAGGATAGATTTGTGGAAGGCTTTGGAATGGTTGAGTGGTATGCTGCAGATGACTAATCTGCAGTAACATGCCATAGCAGCCACCCTTGTGGGGTGGGGCCAAGTTCCAAGCATGACTGGAGACCACTCTTGTCAATCTCATGGCTCACACAGACTCGAGGGCCCTGGTAACACCAAGCCCATACTCATCCCTTTAATTCAAAGTATTGAAAGCCCCATAATCGCCGGGTGGTGGTGGCACACACCTTTAGTTCTAGCACTTGGGAAGCAGAGGCAGGCGGATCTCTGTGAGTTTAAGGCCAGCCTAGTCTTCAATGAGAGTTACAGGACAGCTTCCAAAGCCACAGAGAAACCCTGTCTGGAAAAACAAAACAAAACAATCAAACAAAAGCCCCATAATCTATTCCCATTAACGTTACAGGCCACATGTTCTTGTTATAGGCTACACTCTGGACACTTCAGAGAGACAACCCCTTCCAAGACCCACAGTCACTATTTAGAGCCACTTGCCTTTCCTCACCGGTGACTTTGAACCCAGTACAGCACATGTCCTTGCCTGAGTGTTATCCCAGTGTCAGAGTGTTGTGGGAAGCAGGTGAGAAGCATGCCTTCCCCTCCCTTCATGATGTAGGTACAGAAGCAGGAAACTTCCTGCATGGGAGCCTCTACATGACATGCAGTGAGCTGGGCATGTGGTCTGGTCACTATCTCCATCCACCAAAGGGGAAATGAGTGAAAGAGGAAGCCACCAGATACCCCTTTCCCAAGTCAGGCTATGTAGCTTCTAAAAAAGCAATGGCCCCTTCCTGAGATACTTGGTGCCTGAAACAAGGACAAGAGCCACACATAAAACTTTTACTTCAGCCGGGCGTTGGTATCGTACACCTTAAATCCCAGCACTCTGGAGGCAGAGGCAGGCGGATCTCTGTGAGTTTGAGGCCAACCTGGTCTCCAGAGCGGGTGCCAGGATAGGCTCCAAAGCTACACAGAGAAACCCTGTCTCGGAGGAAAAAAAAAAAAGAAAGAAAGAAAGTAACTGTTTAGGCTGGAGAGAGGGCTCAGAGGTTAAGAGCACTGACAGCTCTTCCAGAAGCCGTGAGTTCAATTCCCAGCAACCACATGGTGGCTCACAACCATCCGTTATGAGATCTGGTGCCCTCTTCTGGTGTGCAGATATACATGGAAGCAGAATGTTGTATACATAATAAATAAAATCTTAAAAAAAACCTTTTACTTCAACTAACACTGGGAAGGGTCATCTTCATATAAATTTTAGCATCACATTAACTTATTTAAAAAATATATATATATATATGTAGGGGAAGCTGTAGCCACACCTTCTTAGGGGCTGGCTACAGGAGTACCTGAGGGCTTGTGAGGGCGTGGTCAGAGTGAGTAGGGGGACTGCGTTTTCGGTTTCGCTCTCTCTTTGCTTCTTGCTGTACAGACTACCACCAGCTGGCTGGTTCGCTCTGTAAGTAAGTCTTTTCCCTATTAAATACCCTTATATTTCTACCTGACTCTGTCTTGGTAATTACCTACTATAGCAGGTGTCAGAAGTGGGGGGAATTGTAGGGGAAGCTGTAGCCAGCCCCTAAGAAGGCGTGGCTACAGCTTCCCCTACATATATATACACACATACATACATACATACATACATACATACATACATACATATGAGAGCACACACAGCATGTGTGTGAAGACTGGAGGACAACTTGCCAGAACTGGTTTCATCTGGGGATGGAACTTGGTCTTCAGGCTTCATGACTGAGAGGGATACAAATGGTTTGCCTAAGGTTCCACCCCCTGCATGCCTGCATGGGTCAATTTTCTGACTTCTGTTGTCTCTACCACTAACTGAGGACCCACACTTTGTGCCTAGGAACAGGAACGGCTCTCTCCCGGTCTCTGAGTTACCAGCAGCAGCCCCAAACCCTGAAAAGATGGGCAGGCTGAGGGTGCAGATGTTCAGATCCCTGTGGAGTCTGAGGAGTCTCTGCTATGACTTAGGATAACCAAAGACTGGATGTATTAACAAGTGCAGTTAGCACCAATTCATCCAGGTTAAAAAAAAAATTCATGGCAAACAAGCTGGGTGGTAGTGGCACACACCTTTAATCTCAGTATGAGGGCGCAGAGGCAGGCAGATCTCTGTGAATACAAGAACACCCTGATCTACAAAGAGAGGACAGGGCTACGGACAGGGCTGCATCAAAAAAAAAAAAAACAAAAAAAGTTGCAAACTTGCATATGGTCAGAGAACATACACCCCAAAGCCAAGGTCCCCATTCTTAGACTTCCTTAGGCTCACTCGTGACTTCTTTACACTGGTTCCCAGAGTAAAGTCCGGATGACCCAATAAGTCACAAGGTCTACACCATATGTGCCTCCTGCCTCCCACCACATCCTCAACTATTCCAACCAGCCTGGAAGCATCTTCCAACCATCCAACCAACCTTAGTTTCAGCACACTCCAGGAAGACTTCCCTGGCACCCACTCATCCAGACTGACTCTGATTCTCTGTGCTTAGCCATCACAGATCTCATCCCCGAGAGCCATCCTAGAAGTTGGGAAAGGCAGGGCCAAGTATGTACAAATCTCTAAGAAAACTGGGCCCAGAATCCCCCAGACCATTTCCTGACCTAGAATGCCTATTTTTTGTTTTGTTTTGTTTTTTGAGACTGGGTGTCTCTGTGTAACCCTGGTGTCCTGAAACTTGCATTGTCGACCAGGCCTGCCTCTGCCTCCCGAGTGCTGGGATTAAAGTTGCCTATTGAGGTGTCCTAGGACCATTTTGCCAGTCAACACTATCCTTCTATGATCTGCAATTTCCCTATTAAAATATTCCCATAAGTCAAGTGTGGTGACACATGCTTTTTAATCTCAGCACTTGGGAAGCACATCTCCGTGAGTCCGAGGACAGCCGGGTCTACGGAGTGAGTACCAGAACACAGAGAAACCCTGTCTTGAAAGAGCACAGGAACCAGGGACGCAGGCTCTGGCAGCGTGTGTCTGTGCTCAGGAGTCCTGGCTGGCCACTGAAACACTAGCTCAAGATGAGGGCCAAGTCAAGTCTAAGACTTCCAAAGATTTTATCCTGGTCTATTGGCATAAGAAAACACTGTTGATTCTTGTTCAGCTGCCAGGTCTAGGACCAAAGAGTAATAGGCAGGGAATGTCTCCTGGCCCGCAACACAGCCCGGAGTAAGTAGGTCTTGTAGGGGAGGGAGTAGAGAGCAACACCTGTTCGTAGCTGTGGTCCCAAGCCTTTTTTTGTCTTCCCTTCCCTTAGCTATCCTACCTCCCTTAGGCCTTCTCCCCGAAAGTCAGTGTCATGCATTTTGTAAATTGAGAGCAAGGGGGAATGCTCTCAATAATCTCGATGGCCAGCAAAGAAAGAACTTGCTACCAGACATGCCCTGCGAAATAGTAGGGCGATGCCTTCTAGGCAGACTCAGACCAATTCTAGTCTCTGGAGTAGGGTTGAATTGCCTCAGTCTTTCCAGCTAAGAAATGGGGGCATGGTAAGGCAAGGTTTGGAGCTGATGCAGATACGGAAATCGGACAGTATATTTTCCCCTCGATCTCATGTTTTAGAGAGTGGCTGACCACACCCGTGCCCACTATGGAGGGAGACGGGCTAACAGACCCGACCCAGGTTAAGAGACCAAAACGCTCTGGGTGTCGTGCTTAAAGCAGATGCACAGCGGGGAAGTCGGCCGACTGGCTGCACTGGATCCGGCAGTACCCTCCCACCGTCCCGCCGCACGCGAGTCTCACCCAGCACCACCGGGGGGTGACGTTGGACCGAGAGCGCCAGGTCCGCCAGCATCATTAGCAGAAGCAGCGGGACCAAGAGGCCACTCCGGAGCTGGGTCGCGCGACAAGTGAGGTGATGGCGATCCATGTCGTGAGACTGGCAGCAGGTCCAATGGACTGCTTTAGTGATAAGAGATCGTGCCTAGGCCGGGGCCGCAGCGTCGTGCTCAACCCCACCGCTCCCAGCCACTAGCTAATTAAGACCCGCCTCTTGCTAAGGCTCTACCAATTGGAACTCTCCGCCACGAGCGTCCCGCCCACTCAAGCTCACCACCAGTCCTTGCCCACCCCTGGGCTTGCTGCTAGACTGTGCTGCGTGCCGAACACATCGATCGACGGCTGGGCGCCGCCTGGCTCCCAGCCTGTCATCCTGCCACTAGGCAGCCCCACCTCACGGAGTACCCAACACAGCCATTGACACTCGAGTCCACTCAGGTAGTCCTCATTCCCGATTCCTAGCCCTCCCACATCCGAAGGACCGAAAACAGGTCGTGCCGAAAGAGGTCCATCATTTGCTGTGACTGAGCAACCTCTCTAAAGGCAAGGAAAGAGGAAGTGAGTCCTAGGGAGTTGGTTCGTTGTTGAAACTCAGGTGACCAGCAGCTGACCAGGACCTTTGTACAGCCTTCACCCTGGCATCCCCAGGGGCATCTAATTTTGGCCGCCCATGCCCAGAGAAATTCTACACTCTGCCTTCCAGGTAGAAATGCAGGTGGGACCCAAGAAACGGGTCCGGGAGGAGCTACGTCAGCCTGTTCCAAATGAAGGGTCTGTCACTTGTTTGTAAGTGCAGCACGCGGAGTAGAATTGGAAGTGGTTTTAACCCGAAACTGTGAGCATCTGTTTGTAAGTTTCCTCTGCTAAGAACAGGGCTCAGGGGCTCGTGCTGGCACTTGAGTCCCTCATACAAACCTGGGGACTCAAATAGGGCACAAGACTTGAGCCAGGAGCTGGGGCCGAGGCCCACTGGGCAGAGGTTCAACACTGGTAATAAGGCAGCCACTGTGGGGTAGAGTTAACCAGTGCATTTGAGAAATGAACCACCGTACACTTCCTTCTGAAGGCCACTTGCACCCTTGGGACATTGCTTAGTCCCAAGATCTCTGACCCACCCTTCACCTCTTCCTTCCCTCTTCTTGGTAAACAGCTGGCTAGTGTTAAAGTCGTTCATTCTTAGTTTTTATAGCAAAATGGAAAGTTTTTAAAAAGACCTGTTTTAGGCAGGGCGTTGGTGGCGCACGTCTTTAATCCCACCACTCGAGAGGCAGAGGCAGGTGGATCTCTGTGAGTTCCAGACCAGCCTGGTCTACAAGAGTTAGTTCCAGGACAGCCTCTAAAGCCATAGAAACCAAACCCTGTCTTGAAAAACGAAAACAAGAACAACAACAAAAGACCTGTTTTATTTTATGTGTATGAGTATTTTTGTCCACATGTGTTTATGTGCATCACGTGCTTGCCTGGTACCTGAAGAAGAGGATATCAAATAGAGTTTGCCTGGAAAAGAATTTACAGGCAGTTGTGAGGCACCATATAGGTGTTGGGAATCAAACCACAGTCCTCTGCAAGAGCAACAAGTACTCATAACTACTGAGCCATTGCTCTAGCCCCAGAAAACAAGAATTTTAAGGCCCACTAACCACTACCTTAGGCCCCATTCCCCCCCCCCTTTAACTTCTGGCACCAGCAGAGTGTTGCTACAGACTGCTCTGGTGAAGGCCCAGTAGAGGATAATAGAGACAAGGCCAAGTCCAGAGCCAAAAGGGGGAGGGGAGATATTAAAAGGCTTAATAGCACGGGACATTGGCTAGTACATACATCTTGCCACACTAGCAGTCTCAGATGACCACAGGCCCTTGGAAGAGTGTCACTGTTGTCAACTGGGGTTTACTGGTATCCCACTCCCACAACCCGAAAGCTTAAGAGTCAGGATTACTGGGGAAAGGATGGCACAAGCTTAATAGCAACAACCCTTACTCATACAAACATCAGAAGATGAGCCCCTCCCCCCTTTTTAAAAGATTTATTTATTTATCTTGTATACAGTGTTCTGCCTACATATATGCCTGTATGCCAGAAGAGGGAACCAGATCTCATTATAGATGGTTGAGAGCCACCATGTGATTGCTGGGAATTGAACTCAGGACCTCTGGAAAAACAGCCAGTGCTCTTAACCTCTGAGCCATCTCTCCAGCCAACCTCAACTCCCTTTTAAGACACTAGTAGCCCAGTGTCTTAGCTAGGTTTATTTCAACTTAGCACATCTGAGAAGAAGGAACCTCAGCTGAAAAACTGCCTCCATAAGATCTGGCTGTAGGGGCTGAAGAGATGACTCAAGGGTTGAGTACTGCCTGTTCTTCCAGAAGTCCTGAGTTAATTCCCAGCAACCACATGGTGGCTCAGAACCATCTGTAATGAAGTCTGGTGCCTTCTTCTGGCCTGCAGGGATACGTGCAGGCAGAACCCTGTATATATAATAAATCTTTTTTTTTTTTTTTTCTGAGACAGGGTTTCTTTGTTTAGATTTGGAGCTTATCCTGGCCCTTGTTCTGGAGACCCGGCTGGACTTGACCTCACAGAGACCCGCCTGCCTCTGCCTCCCGAGTGCTGGGATTAAAGGCATGCGCCACCAACGCCCAACTATAATAAATCTTTAAAAAAAAAGATATAAAAAAAGATATGGCTGTAATGGGTGGTGGTGGTACATGCTTTTAAATCCCAGTATTCAGGAAGCAGAGGAAGGTAGATTTCTGTGAGTTCGAGACCAGCCTGGTCTATAGACTGAGTTCCAGGACAGCCAGGGCTACACGGAAAAACAGAAGAAAAGGAAGAGGAGGAGTGAAAAGAAGAGGATCCTGATATTTTTGTTTTTGTTTTTGTTTTTGGGTTTTTCAAGACAGGGTTTCTCTGTAGCTTTGGAGCCTGTCCTGGAACTCACTCTGTAGACCAGGCTGGTCTCAAACTCACAGAGATCTGCCTGCCTCTGCCTCCTGAGTGCTGGGATTAAAGGCGTGCACCACCACCGCCCCTCAATGATCCAGATGTAAGCAGGTGAGCCTTATGGGATTTCATGAGTGATTGATGGGGGAGGGGCTTGCAGCTCATAGTGGATGGTCATGGTTTAAGAAAGTAGGCTGAGCAAGCCATGAAGAGCAAGTCAGTAAGCAGAACCCCCCTCCCCTGTAGCCTCTGCATCAGCCTCTGCCTCCCAAGTTACTGCCTTGGCTTCTCTCAATGGGCTGTGATTTAGATTATGTAAGACAAATAAACCCTTCCTCCCCAAGTTTCTTTTGGCCATGGTGTTTCTTCACAGCAGTAGAAAAGTAACTAAGACATTCAGGGTTGTTGTTGAATAATCTTGTTGAACACTGTGAAGATATGTCTTTGCCAAGGTACCTTCAGATTGGTTTAATAAAGAGAAGAATGGCCAATAGCTAGGCAGGGAGAGGTTAGGCGGGACTTCAGGACAGAGAGAGACGGGAAGAGGAGATGAATCTAGTCATGCAGGAGAGATGCCAGAGGGCACAGAGAAGAAATAGGAAGTGCAAGATAGAAGAGAGATAAAAAGCCACAAGACAAAATGTAGAATAATATAAATGGGTTAAGTTATAAGAGTGAGACAAGTCTAAGCTATAGACTGAGCTAATAACTAATAATAATAACTAATAATAAGTCTCCATGTCATTTTTTTGTGAGCTGGCGGCCCAAAGAAAAATTTGTCTACATATGGTGCCCAGTGTGGGGCTTGAATATCCAAAGATGGGGCCTGCCTCGGTCTTTCAGGCAGAATGACTCAGCATACAGAGGTGTTGCTTCCTGTGACTTCCTGCCATTGCCTGTAGGATGGAGCCAGTAGCCAGTGCCATGAGCTAGTACCATGTGTTAAGTTGAGCTGCTTGGCAGCTGGCACCACACTTTAAGATTTGTCTCACATGGTCAGAGAACACTTCAAGTGCTAGGTAAAGACAGACTGGAAAAACAAAACCTCTAAACAGGTTACAGTGCATTTTAAAATGGGGGCTGGAGCTGGGCGGTGGTGGTTCACACCTTTAATCCCAGCACTCGGGAGACAGGCAGGCGGATCTCTGTGATTTCGAGACCAGCCTGGTCTACAAGAGCTAGTTCCAAGACAGCCTCCAAAGCCACAGAGAAACCCTGTCTCGGAAAAAAAAAGGGGGGTGTGTGTGGAGAAATGGCTTGCAGGTTAAGAGTACTGGCTGCTCTTCCAGAGGTCCTGAGTTCAATTCCCAGCAACCACACGGTGGCTCACAACCATTCGTTATGAGATCTGGTGCCCTCTTCCGGCATGCAGGCCTACATGTAGGCATAAACACTGTGCAAAATAAAGTAAATCTTAAAAAAAAAAGAAAAAAAACCAAAATGGGTATAGTTATAGAAAAATAAACATTATAACTAAGAAGACATTTATTTTTTTAAATATTTATTTACTAATTATGTATACAACATTCTGCCTTCATGTATGCCTCACACCAGAAGAGGGCACCAGATCTCATTACACGTAGTTGTGAGCCACCATGTGGTTGCTGGGGATTGAACCCAGGTCCTCTGGAAAAACAGTTAGTGCTCTTAACCTCTGAGCCATCTCTCCAGCCCCTAAGAAGACATTTAAACAGAGACTAAAATAATATAAAAAAAAAGAGAAGCCACATAAAGATATGAAATACAAGAGTCTGGATCCTATATGAAGTGTTGTTGAATTTGATTTTTTTTTTTTTCGAGACAGGGTTTCTCTGTGTAGCTTTGGAGCCTATCTTAGCACTCGCATTGGAGACCAGGCTGGCCTTGAACTCACATAGATCTGCCTGCCTCTGCCTCCTGAGTGCCGGGATTAAAGGCATGCGCCACCAACGACAGGCCGAATTTGAATTTTTAATTGCTGATGACTGAATGATAGCTGATGAGAGACATGGGATTGTAAGAGGGACTGCGGAATTAAAATAGCCTAGATACTTTAGGAATACTTTAACTTTAAAATGGAATTCAAAAAATGTTTTGTGTTGGGGAAGAGGTTACTCTTTTGTTCCCACAGGAGGCTGTGGATTCATTCAAGGTTAAGGAGAATCAGGTTTGAAGGGGACCTCCTGAAAATCTTGATTACAGATATAAAGAAATAAACCTAGACAAACTATAAGACCGGTGATGTTTATTTTACCTGCTCAAACATAAAATAAAAAATCATCTTTGG